TGATGAACAGAATGAACTGGTGATTATAATAGAATCACGGGCATAGAAAGGGAATGGACTGACTATTCTTGAGGGGGAAAGGGGTGTGGGAGATGCGGGAAGAGACTGGACAATAATCGTGCACCTATGGATGAGGACAGTGCGGGGGGGTGAGGGCGGAGGGTGGGGTGGGAACCAGGTGGAGGGGAGCTATGGGGGGGAAAAAGAGGAACAACTGTAATAATCTGAACAATAAAGATTTAATTTAAAAAAAAAAAATGGGCAAAGGGCCTGAATAGACAATTCTCCAAAAAGGACACACAGATGGCCAATAGACATATGCAAAGATGCTCAATGTCACTAATCATCAAAGAGATGCAAATTAAAACCACAATGCAAATTAAAACCTCACACTTATCTGAATGGCTAACATCAATAAATCAACAAACAAGAGTTGGTGAGGATGTGGAGAAAAGGGAACCCTTGTGTACTGTTGGTGGGAATGCAGAATGGAAAACAGTATGGAGTTTCCTCAAAAAATTAAAAATGGAACTACCTTATGACCCAGCAATTCCCCTTCTGGGTATATAGCCAAAGAAATCCAGAGCACTAATTTAAAAGAATATATGAACACCTATTTCACTGTAGCATTATTTACAATAGCCAAAATATGGAAGCACCCCAAGTACCCATCAATAGACGAGTGGATAAAAAAGCTATAGTACATAAATACAATGGAATATTACTCAGCCATAAAAAAGAACAAAATCTTACCATTTGCAAGAGCATGGATAGACATAGAGGGCATTGTACTAAGTAAAATAAATCAGTCAGAGAAAGAAAAATACTTTATAGATTCCACATAGATTCCATATAGATTCCACATATATACTTCCATATATATGGAATCTAAAGAACAAAATAAATAAACAAACAAAATTGAAACAGACTCATAGACACAGAGAACAGACTGATGGTTGCCAGAGGGGAGAGGATTCAGGGTACTGGGTGAAAAGAGTGAAATGGGATTAAGAAGTACAAAGTAATCATTACAAAACAGTCATGGATGTAAAGCACAACATAGGGAACACAGGCAATAATATTTTAATAACTATGTACGGTGCCAGGTAGGTACCTAAAATATCAGGTTGGCCACTTTGTAAAGGATACGATTGTCTGACCACTATGCTGTACATCTGAAACTAATATAAAAGAATACTGAATGTAAACTGCAATTGAAAAATTAAATTAACAAAAAGATAATAAATAAAATAAAAAGTAGAAGAGTAATATTGCTCTTTTACCATTTTACTACCATGTAACTTTGATAACAATTTCATATAGACTACTGCTTATTAAATCATAACTATTACTTATTTTATTTAAATGGATTGAGCATTCAAAAACTTAGTATCAGGAATATGTAACACAGGTACCCAGGTAGAGCCTCCTTATCCTGTTAGGTATGCAAATTGGTCCTGAGCTTAGGTTCCAGGCTTGTTTCTACCTGCCTTAAATGTAAGGTCCCCAGCCTGCTGAGCAATAAAATCTCCAACAGCAATGCATTCTTCATCTGTTGCCTGCCGCTGAGATTCATTTTCCTGTTTCTCTTCCTCTTCCTCTTCCTCTTCCTCTTCCTCTTCTGTTTCTTCTTCCTCCCCACTACTTTCTTCACTTTCTTCTTTGTCATCATCGTTGTCTTCTTCATCTTCTTCAGCAAAATCATTATCTTCCTCTCTTTCGGTAAGTGCCTCAATTCTGCAAAAAAATAATTCTATAACAAGGATCACTTGAAATAGTACTTAAGAACAGATGAAGTATGAGTGTAACTTCTCTACACAGAAGAACTGGCCATATTTGAAACTAGCAAATAAAGAAAATAAGGAAAAAGCACGGCTAATGGTTTCCACCATCCAGCTAGGAATATGGGACTTGAGGGGCTGCGTGGTGAAGGAGTTATACAGCAGGAAGGCAAGTGACAGGGAGAGCATGCGCGGGACTAGAGGCCAAGAGACGTGCACTCTGGTCATGGACTCATCTACCCAGCAAACTGCTTGAGCATCAGCACACAGTGCTTAGAGCACGGGCTCCGAGTTTAAATTCTGGCTCTACTCCTGCTTGCTGAGGAATAACTGTGATTTACAGGCAGTAAATCATAAGCTCCTCATTCCTCATTGATAAAGTGGAGATAATAACAGCACATGCTTCATGAGTTACCGACTCGCAGTGTTTGGAACAGTGTCTGCCCACAGCACGCTTGTAATAAAGGTCAGCGCTGACGACGCTGGTCTGTGTCAGACACGGTGGCTACACAGGTGAGCCAGACTCAATTCCCCGTCCCCAAGGGGCATCTAGAAAATGGATAATTACTCCAGAGCTCAATAGGTACTAGCCTGGAGACACACGGGATGCTAAGGAAACACAAGACGGACACCTAACCTAGACCGCATGGCTGCGGATCAGGAAACACTCAGAAATAGGTCTTGAGAGATGAGTTGGAGTTAATCAGGTAAAAGGAAGTAGCAAGGAGGACGAGGAAGGGAGAAAGGAGGCTCAAGATCAGGGAACCTCAAGTAGGTCACTAATGCAGGACAGGCTTGGAGAAATGCGAGAGGGAAAGCTGCAAAGAGGTGAGCAGAATGCAGCCAGGTGAGCATCGTGCAAAGATGTAAAGTCCCTAAGATGAAGTGAGGGAAGGGCAGGATCTGCTCCGCACGTTAGAAAGATGGCTCACATGGGGGACAGACTGGAGGAAGGGCTAAAGGAAAGATGGCTGTTATGGGTGACACAGGCCACAGTATGGACTAAGAAAACAGGATTAAGGAGGAAGAGAAAGACTTTGGAAAGATATGAGGGAGGTAAAATGGAAGGTGAGGGAAGGGAGAGGAGTTCAAATAATACTGGCTGGGATAAGTCACTAAATCTCTGAGCGTTACTTATTCATTCAACATTCAGCAAAGTCATCAAATGTTTACAGGACACCTACTGTGTGACAGACACTGTGTGCTTGGGAGACTCCTACAGCTTACGTTGTAGAAGCTTACCTTTAAAGTGGTCGTGTTTAGGATTTCATTTTATTGTTTATGTTGGTTTTCTTAGCTACTTCTTTCCCTTATTTAGTAGTGATTGCTCTAGGTTTTACAATATGCATCCCTAACTTATCATAGTCTAACCTGAATTACTATTACATTTCACCCAAAATGAAAGACCTTTAAGATGATATCATCCCATGTACCCTGCCGGCCCTTTTAGCTACTCCTGTGCCTCTGTTGTCACATATTGACTTCTGCATAGAGTTGATCCTTACTACTTGCAGATTCCATATTTGTAAATTCACCTGCTTGCTAAAATGTACTGGTAACCCCCAATCAACACTTGCAGTGCTTCTGTGTTCTTGCACAGATGAGTGCAAAGCAGCAAAAAATTCAAGTTGCCCGATGCACACACTCACAGCAGAGGTTGAACAAGGCGACACCCTGCCTTCTCTTTTCGGCTCTTGGACTGAAAACAAGTGTCCTTTTTACAGTCTATTTAGTACCAGGAATTTCGCATTTTTGTGCTTTTTGTTGGCAATTCTGTCATTTAAAGTGGCCCCAAACATGCTGAAGTGCTGTGTAGTATTCATACGAAGACTGCAGCAGAAAGTGTCAGGTCCCATGGGAGGGGGAAAGAAGGGAAGTCACAATTTTGCCCTCAGGTGATTTATCATCTAGTTGGGGAACAAAGTCGAGATCTGAAAAGCTAAATAAACAGATGTGTGAAAATGTATGAAAATAAAGATGCTGCCTTTAATGTCAATGTTCATATGTAAAAAAAAATTATTTGGATCATCTGCTTGCATACGCTCTCCTTTCATAACTATTCTTTGAAAGCTGGAGGCACAAACATGCCCTGCTTCCTGCTGGAGGGCGGTAACAGCCTTTGCAAAGTGGAAGGAACCTGATGGTCTAAACAAGCCCAATTTGTGGGAAGCAGAAAGGAACACATCAATTATTCCGAGTCCTCCAATGCTGTTCCCTTATCTTTATGCTGTCTCCTGGGAAAATGCTAAGGATGGAGGTGCAAGGACTCTAGAACTCCCACTGATTTCCAGTACTGAGAAGGACAAAGTAGCTGGTATTGAACTTAACCCTCAAACCAGAAACAGCTCTAAAATCTGGACAAATACACAACATGGCTGTTTGACGTCACTGAACATCAACCAAGCAGGACTGAGGTCTTCTGCATGACTCCTGGGCTCTCACGCTGTCTACTGTGCCCTGTGACCAGTGTCCACTGACTATCCTGCTACGGCCACTTGTTTATAGCTGTACTGTTGTGTCTGTATCCTGAGTGAAACATTAAAGCTGGTGGCCTCACATCTGAGAGAAGGAAGGGAAGCGGCATACTCAGTTCTACTTTCTCTACTTATGGACACGGCAAGTTCCTGCAGTTGGTGGGTCAGCTTGTCCAAGAGACTGAGCTCCTCCTCCTTTTTCTGGTGATAGTTTCCAACGGGTGCGGGTTCATCGGCCTGGAGAGAACAGGAGTCCATTTCACTGAAAAATGTATTTGTTTTCTATTGTATTTACTTTTAAAAAAAGAAACTCCTATATGTGCTAGAAGACAAAGTAAATAGCAGTATGAAACTAGGCCTCCATTAGGCAAATAAGATGAAAAGAAATGTAGATGGTCAGAATGTAAACCAAACGCAAAATTAAATTACTTGCTTCTTGTTGTGTTCCCTTCTAGGTCCTGCAGACGCTCTGCAGTGGGAAGGGCTACCTCCCAGGCAGATGGCTCTGTCATAAAGGCGGGCCCCTCCCAAGTGCCCCCTCCTGGGCAGTGAGCCGGGAAAGCTGCTCCACCTCTGGAGCCTGTTTCCACATCTGAAAAACGCGTCCGCAGGTTCCCAAATGGAGAGTCAGTCTGCATGGAAACATCTGTGAGACAGATGTTCTGGGATATGAGTGTCTATAATACTTACTTTGCTTAATTTTTGAAGAGCATTTTTATTTTCGTCGATTGCCTGTTTTAATTGGATACACCTAAAATTTTAAAAAGAGAGAAAAATATATTGATTTTTCTATTGTCAAAACCAAAAAGTTATTCTATAAAGTCATACATAAGACTTTAAGCAGACAAGGCAGTTAGTGATTATATGGCTTATGTTTAAAAATACACATGTAGCCCGCTGGTGTGGCTCAGTGGTTGAATGTTGATCCATCAACCAGGAGATCCCGTTTCAGGCTCAATCCGGGGGGGCGGGGGGCAAACAGGAGGCAATCGATGATTCTCTCTCATCATTGATGTTTCTATCTCTCCCTCTCCCTTCCTCTCTCTGAAACCATTAATAACATTTTTTAAACTCTAGAAAACCTTATGTGAATAGGCAAATATGTCATAAATATTTTAAATAAATAAATAAATAAATAAATAAATAAAAATACACATGTAAATAAAATGCACATTTAAATGCTTTTCCACCCATTAGCCTGGCATCCTCACAGCCCAGCTCTGAGGCACACAGATATGAAAACCAAAGCTCAGAAAGCTAAGTGACCCCGGGCTTCAGGGTCCTGCCTCTAAAATAAGGACAGCACCGGACTTGAAGATGCTTCTCCACCTACCCTATAGCCCACAAGCCTAGGCCCCAGCCAAGAGGACACTAAGAATGAGGATACGGCTAACAGGTAGAGTGCACCAAGCGGGAAGTTAAACAGTTTACAGGCATCGCCTCATTCAACCCTTAGAGCTACCCTCCCTCCAGATGGAGAAAGTGAGGTTCTAAAAGGTGAGCACAGCCTGTCAATGGGCGAGTAACCACATGGAGGCAGAGCCGAGGACCCCACAGCAGTCTCTTCCCATCACAGTGCATGTCCCCTTGACCTTGGCCTGTCCATTCACCTAGGGTTTAGTTATTCCACAGACAGCTCATAGCATTTAGCTTAAGTCTTAGACATCCAAGTAAGAACTATAAAAACCACCAAAAATGGCTACAGCTGGGCTTGCTTTATATATTAGGGTGTTATTTGCACTATCGTGTATTATATAAATTAAATCATGTCCATAACACCTAAGCTATAAAGAGGGAAATCAGTCTTAGGGCAATCCAAGGTCTTTCTATTATGCAGGGAGAGAGTAAAGACACTGACCAAGTTCAGATTTAGTTAAGGCCCTTGTATAAGTCTTTGACTATTAAATAAGCCTGTTTATGTACAGAAAGCCTGACAGTTAGCTCCCCTTTCTCTTACCTCACCCCTCTCTGTTCTCCGTCCTTAACAGGGCACTCTTCTCTAAAAAAAAAAAATAATAATGAATGACCTGGGGAGACTTCTAGGTGCTAAAGAACTTCCTGTACACCAGGGTACAGCCCACTACTCTGGCACTTTGGGGTCCTCAGGCTAAAGGCTCACTCCCTGCAAATCCCTGCCCATGCACAGAGAACTTCATTCTCATAAGGGAGTACCAGTAGGAAGGAGACTGGATATACAACAGTAGAAAATCCTATAAGGCTCTCTATACTAATCAACCTAGTCCCTCATCTATAATAATAAAAGCATAATATACTAATTAGCCCGGACGTCCTTCCGGACAACCTTCTGGACGAAGCCGGGGCTGTAAGAAAAGCCCGGGTCCTGGGTGCCAGAGGGAAGCCAGTGCCGGCAGCTGGGGGAAGGAAGGCCTACTCTTGCACGAATTTCATGCATCAGGCCTCTAGTTCTTAAATAAAAATGGATAACCCCAGGACCACCAGATGTAATAAAGAAAACCAGCAACATGGACGATAAAATTTAAGACTCACCAACATTAAATAAAGACAACTCAGAGAACAGAAGAAAACTTTTTTAAAAATCTCCTAATCATGAAAGTATTAAGGAGATCATCTGAAAACAGGAGCATGATGTTATGAAAAAGAGCAAGAAAAAACACTTCTTAGTTGCCAATGTGTCTGTTAAAATCAAACATTCCATAGGAAGTTAAAGAAAAATCAAGAGCATCTCCCAGGCAAAAACAAAAAGACACAGAAACAAAAACTATTAATGGGGAGATAAGAGACCAAGAAAACAGTCCAAGAGGCTCCCTGACTCAAAGCTGTTTCAGAAAGAAAAAGACACACAAAAGTAAAAAACTTATCTTTTAATAAAAGAAAATCCCCTAGAGCTCATGAGAGACATGCAAATCTCAATGTGAATCTTTAAAATGGATGTGAGGAGGTCTTTTTATACACAGAGAAGACTATTTTATGGTTATTGGGGTTTAAAAACAATCAAAGAAACAGCTCTGTGGCAGAAACAGCTCTCCCAAACTACTGGCTAGAGAGGACTTATAGCCTCGGAGGTCAATCCAGAAACACTGCTTTAGATTTTCCCTATTCCTTCTTTTTACCCCCAGTTAAATTTTCACCATACTTATATATCTAATTTCCAATCCCCTGCTCTAAATCCATATACACCTCTCTCTTCTCTTTCTTTACTATCCAATTTTTTTTTTCTCTCTGTCATTTGGTTGTTGTTTACTTGATTGTTCAGTATATTGGGGGGTTTTTTATGCTTGTTTGTGAGATTATTTTGCTTTTTCTTTCTATTTTTCTGTTTGTTTGTTTTTGTTTTTTTTCTTTTCCAGTTATTTTTACTTATTTATTTATTTTTTGCTCCTGTTTTCCCTCGCCTCACTTGATAGCAATTGTTGTTTATAGTTTGCATTCTGTTGCTGGAATTTGCTGGGATTAGTGGTTGTTCTATTGGAGTTTTCTCCACATATAAATAGTTTCTTCCCCTCTTCTATTTCATACTCTTTCTTTTCTCTCTTACTTTTTTTTTCCTTTTCCCAATTTCATTTTTGTATTCCTTTTTTTCTTTTTCTTTTTTTTCTCTTTTTTCTTTTTCTCGTCTTTCTTCCTTATCCCCTAATTCTCTTTGATCTGGTGGTCACCTTTATTTGGGGTTATTAGTATCGTGAATACATTTGTGTTCAGTGCCTTGTGCTTTGTGCCTTGTTGTGTTGTATTTTGTGCCTTTAAGTCAACACAGCAGAGAGAGAACTACAAAACCAAACACCTGGAAAAGAGAGATCATGGGGAGACAAAGAAATAGCCCGCATATGAAAGAAAAACAGGCATCACCAGAAAAGGAAGTAAACGAAATGGAGGCAATGGAGGAAAGCAACCTGTCAGAGAAAGACCTCAGAGAAATGGCCATAAGGTGGATGAAAAGAATGGAAGACA